TGAAGGATCTGATGCCCTTATTTATATTGAATTGTACATGACTGATAAAACTAGAATATGTCACCATTGAAGGTTTATTCTCGGTTTGCTCCCTCATTCCCACCCCAGATCCATTTTCTAGCTTTCTTAGTTCTGGGGAGGGTGACCGCTGGGGACCGCATTACCCAGGCCCCCTCACCCTGTGGCTTCTGGTTGGGTTGGCCAATGGGGCCCCTGCCAGGAGACCTGAGGGCAAGTAGAGAAGAACACGGAGATATTTCATCCTTGGTGCAGCCTCACACCACTGGGCAGTGGCTGCGTCTCTACAGCCTTGTCCCCCTCAAGGCGGCTCTTCCACAGCTCAGCTCTCACTGGGCTCCCTTTGGTTCTGCCACCCTAGATGCTAACAGCTGCCTGCTGTCGCAAGTCCCAGGGCGCCTCGCCATCCCTGCTGGTTCTTTCCATCCTGCCCACTTCACTGTAAGTTGTCCTGCCATTAATTGCCTTATTTTATTTTTCAGTTAAACCCTTTTGAGTGTACTGTCTGATCCCTGCTAGGACTCTAATACAGAGTGTTGCATTTTTATCAGGTACAAGGTCCTAATTTGCCTTAAGCCAAAGCAATGAAGTTCTAATCGTAGAATCTGGGGCCAGAGGCAGTCCAGAGAGAGCAGGTATTTTTTGATATGGGAAGTGTGCCAGTGTATCTCAGTGCCTTGAAATCCAACTATATCAAGGCCTGGTAGCTGGCTTCAGAATAATTTTATTCTGTTCCACTGCCATGAACTGAGAAGCTGCTGCATTCCAGACATGGTGCTCAGGCTTATGGGAACCAAGGACGATGGAGACCAGGCCCTGTGTCCGAGAGCCTCACACTCAGAGACACTCGAGCCAGGGCAGAATGAAAGCCCTGGAATGGAATTGAATGTGACAGGCAGCCAAGCAGGGCAAAGCCGGCTGAGATAAGGACCTAATCAGAGTTCAGACAGAGAACAGTAGTGGAACAGCAGACGGAGGCTTTGTTCCAACGCTGGGGACCTGGGAGGACCTCACAGGGTGGAGGAGGAGGTCACACAGGACCTTGGAGAACCGTGAAGCCAGCCAATCAGCTGCCTCAGTGCACAAGCCAGAGTGGGGCCCCTTTCTACAGCCTCCTGGGGGAAGCCTTCTTGGACGCCCAGGCAGTTTTATTTGCTCTAGATTCTAACCGCACATCTGCTTTCCTCCTACGGCTCCCACTGATCGAGGGCTTACCCTGTGCATGCACTGTGCTGGGGGGCTTTGAATGCATGAGCCCATTCAATCCTCCAATCCCCCTTGCAGGGGGTGCTATTCGTCCCATTTTATAGCTAAAGAAACTGAGGCTCAGTCCGAGGGACCAGCCCACGATTTTATGAACAAGCCCTGGAGGAAACAGGATTTGAATCCAGACTGCCTGGCCCAGAAATGCACACTCTCAATCACTTTACTTTATCTGCATTGATTTCTAACTTGAGGCAGGGGTGGTACTGAGCACTTTGTATCGTTATCTCATTTGCTCCTCACAGCGCCCCCATGAGGTAGGTACGAGTATCACCCCCCACTTTACAGAAGAAGAAACTGGCCACCAAGAGGGTCCTTTCAAGGTCATGGTGGAGTCAAGGTTTGAACCCAGGAGACCAACTAGGAATTCATGCCTCCAGCCACTACCTTCTTTGAGAGCAGGGCCTAGATTATTAACATTTTAATACACCTTATTTTGTAGAATGGTTTTAGATGTACAGAAAAATTATGAAGATAATACAGAGAGTTTCCTAATTGTTCTTACTAGGACTTCCAATACTATGTTGAATAACAGTTGCAAGAGTGGGCATCCTTGTCTTGCTCCTGATCTTAGAGGAAAAACTTTCAGCTTTTCACCACTGAGTATGATGTTAGTGGTGGGCTTGTCATACATGGCTTTATCATGTTGAGGTATTTTCCCTCTATAACCACTTTGTTGAGAGTTTTCTTCATAAACGGATGTTGAATTTTGTCAAATGTTTCTTCTGCATCTGTTGAGATGATCACATGGCTTTTATCCTTCATTTTGCATCCCTGGAATAAATGCCACGTGATCGTGGTGTACAATCCTTTTAATGTATTGTTGAACTCGGCTTGCTAATATTTTGTTGAGGATTTTTGCATTTATGTTCATCAGGGATATTGGCTTATGCTACAATTACCAACATTCTGCCACTCTTGCTTCATCTATTCCTCTACCCACTTCCCACTCCTACTCTCTTCACTGCTTTTCTCTTACAGCCTCCACCCCCCGCCTTTTTTTCTGGGGAGAAGTCACACATATTACAATATGCAAATCTTAGGCTACACAGTTTTAACAAGTGGGCACAGCTGCATAACACACACCCCTTTCATGATAGGAAGCATGTCCATTCCCACTATTTTTTTTTAAAGTTTATTTATTTTTGGCTGCGTTGGGTCTTCGTTGCTGCACGCAGGCTTTCTCTAGTTGCAGCGAGCAGGGGCTACTCTTCCTTGCAGTGTTCAGGCTTCTCATTGTGGTGGCTTCCCTTGTCGTGGAGCACGGGCTCTAGGCACGCGGGCTTCAGCAGTTGTGGCGCACGGGTTTAGTTCCTCTGAGGCATGTGGGATCTTCCCAGACCAGGGCTCGAACCCGTGCCCCCTGCATTGGCAGGCGGATTCTTAACCACTGCGCCACCAGGGGTGTCCCACCCCAACTATTTTCTGTCCTATTTTCTAGGACCATCCATCCCCCCCCCCATCCAGAGATAACCACTGTCCTGATTTTTTCACCTTAGGTTAATATTGCTTGCTCTGAAACGTCATGCAAATGGATTCATATAGTTTGCACTCTTTATTTCTTCTTTTCTGGCTTCTTGCACTGTGTATAGCGTCTCTGAGGTTCACCCACGTTGTTGTGTGTGTCGGTATTGTATCCCTTTCTATTGCCAAGTGGCACTGCATTGAATGCATTTGCTGCATCTTGTTCATCTGTTTTCCTGTTGATGGGCATTTGGACTGTTAACAGTTTGAGCTGCTGTGAATAAAGCTGCTGTGAACATTTTTGTCCAAGTCATTTTGGGGTGTATGTTCTCATTTCTCTTGGATAAAGACCTCTTTGTATGTTTCTGTATCCATCAATGCTGACGATCTAGTCAGTACTCAGAAAAAGTGTGGTAAAATGAACTGAGTCGTGGAACTAAGAGCTGCGAGGTGGCAATAATCAACCGTTTCATATAGTAAAGTGCATTTCATATAGTAAAGTTCCAAAGTTGAGGGTGAATGCCAATAGCAAAGGCTGGATAAAAAGAAAGGACATCTGAGGTAGGGACTGAGTGATTCAGTCAAGAATTTTGAAAAAGAACAGCCTTTGAAGAAGAGCCAAAACGTAGAGACAACCAGGAGACTTCCTCCTGCAAGGGACGGAGACTTCTCTCCAACATGCTGGCTGGACTGGAGTCCTGCAGGGTGTCTCTGCTGGGGTCAAAATGGTGCACTTGGAGCAAAATCACGACGCCCAGAGTTTGTTAGTGAGATTCTTCACGATGTTTTATATCTTGCTGAAGAGCGTTGATACCCTTTGTTTTGTCCTCCCTAAATCCACTGCTGAACTGCCACACTGAGAGACTTTGTCCTGCCAGGGCTAGTCCAGAACAGGAGACCATCCAGCAATCTTTTCTCCTTGGCGCTGGGAGATGTTTGTGTGTAGCTGGGAAATCTGGGCTCCTGCCATTAATTAGCGATGTGCGCCTTTGTCTCCAAAGTTCCTTCCAGCTCTGAAATATTACAACCTGGCAACCGTACTTCTTTTTTCAATACATATTTTTTCTTATTACAAAGGTATATGAGTTTACCATAGATAGATAGAAAATATAAATAACAGAACCGAAGAAAATATAAAATCACTCACCATTTCACCACTCAGTGCTGACTCTTATTAACCTTCGCTCATTCATTAACACATATTCATTGAGTGCCTACCATGTGCTGAGCAGTTTGAAGTGTGTCTTTCTAGACAATTTATATTTTAATGAAATCCTCCTGCTTTGTAACCTGCCTTTCACTTAATAGACAGTGGTGAACATAGTCTCATGTCAGTAAATATTTTTCTACAGCCTTCCAGTTTTTCATGTTAATAAACACTCTCAGAGCTAGATTTTGAGAACCGTTACTTTAAGATAATTCCCACAAGCAGAACTCCCAGGTTAATTAGTAATCACACTTATGAGGCTTCTGGCAGGTGATGCCAAAATAGCCTGCCTCCCCAGCCTCTCTTTACATCTATCCACTCAGACGTATGCACTAAAAAGGGTCCAGAACCGCGCTGCCCATTACAGCGGGCACTAGACATACAAGGCTGCGTATATTTAAGTTAAAATTAATTAAAATAAACAATTCAGGTCCTCAGTTGCACTAGCCACATTTCAAGCACTCCACAGCACATGTAGCTAGGGGTTACTGTAATAACACAGAAAACATTTCCATTACTGCAGAAAGTTCTACTGGACATCACTGGTCCAGATGTGATGTTTTATTGATGTTAATTATTGTTATTTTGGGGTACAGCAATTTGGGGTGATTTTCCTTTTTATTGCATTTCTTGACCCCTTTATTTATTTTTTTGGCCGTGCTGCATCGCTTGTGGGATCTTAGTTCCCTGACCAGGGATTGAACCCAGGCCCCAGCAGTGAAAGCACCAAGCCCTAACCACTGGACCACCAGGGGATTCCCTCGTGGTCCCTTTATAATGAGCATTTCTCAATTATTGTTTTACATATATCATGTTTAAAAGCTTTCTCCTCTTTGGAAAGGTGTACCTCGTGCCCACTGGCCCCCCGTAGATATGTCTGATTATGGCAAAACTTCAGAGCCCTTATGTCTGGTCATTGGGTTTGAATTCTAATTTCCAAATTAGAGCTCCAAAAAAGTTGAACTAAGAATCTCTATTCAAATTTACTTACATATGCATAAAGAAATTCTGGAAGGATACAAAAAAAAAAATTAGGAACATTACTTACCTAAGACATGCGGAGTGGGTGTCTTTGCAGATGAGGACAAGAATGGGAAGGAGATTTTCCATGTGAATGTATCACCTATTTAAAAATAGATTAAAAATAAATTTAAAATATATCTCATTAAATTACACAAATAGCATATGATTGTAAAAAAAAATTAATAGTAGACAGTAAAATTCCTTTCCCCGAAGATTATTAATGGCAGGTTTGTGAGAATCCTTTCAGACTTGGGTCCATTATGAACAATCACACATAATATCTTTTTTATATGAACAGGATCACGGGCACTTACGCTCTGCAGCGTGCTTCACACGTCTCTAAAATGTTATTCTGTCAGTGTGCTTTCATTCCTTAGGCATCACCAGAGTCCTACCTCCTTTCCTGTTGATGACAGCTGGAAAAAGTGGGCTTTTAAGGCTCCAGGACTTTTTTCTCTTATGTCTCCAGGTGGCCCTTGATAACACCTCCACGTCTCCTTTGAAAGCCCGTGTGTCAGACCCGTTTCCAGATGACGGCAGAGCTGGCATCAGTCGGTCCAGGTCAGTCCGATCCTCACGGACGTTGCAGCTTCAGTTTTCTTACATCTCACCCTCTCCCTTCCTCAGGTGTCTCCTTGTCTGCACCGTTCCCAGGCAGCAGGGGGTGAAGGGAGTAAGAGCATTTCCAGGTGGAGCCTCGGGGCAGGGAAGAGGCAGGGACATGGGGCACGACTCACCTCCAGGTCCCCTTCTTCTTCTCCAGGCAGCCAGTAACAGTCCCCTTGCTTCCTCCTCTTTTTTTTTCCTTTGTTTGGCTGCGTCGGGTCTTAGTTGCAGCACACGGGGTCTTTTGTTGCAGCACGGGCTCTTTGTTGTGGTGCACGGGCTTCTCTCTAGTTGTGGCCTGCAGGTTTTCTCTCTCTCGTTGTGGTACGCAGGCTCCAGAGCACGTGGGCTCTGTAGTTTGCGGCACGCAGCTTCTCTAGTTGAGGTGCGCATGCTCAGTAGTTGTGGCGTGCGGGCTTGGTTGCCCTGCAGCGTGTGGGATCTTAGTTCCCTGACCAGGGATAGAACCCATGTCCCCTGCATTGGAAGGCAGATTCTTTACCACTGGGTCACCAGGGAAGTCCCCTTCTTCCTCCTCTTGTCCACCCCCAGTTCCAAATCCACTTGCAGCCCCTACTGTGCTGGACACATTCCTGAACCTTACTTGCATCTTTTTTTGCAATTCTGTGATGGGTTTCCCACATTGACCTTGGAGAGTCCGTTCCACACACCTCCTTGGGTGCATCCTTGCCCATATCTCCCACAGGAGGGGAATAAGTGAGTAAGGGGCATTTCCAGAGGACTGGGTGGGCCTGGAGTAAGTGTGGAAAAAAGTGGAGATGAAAGGTATGAGTCACCTACAGGAGTCACTGATGCTCTTGGAAGTCGCCCAATACCTGGACCTAAGAGAGATGTGTGTGTGTGTGTGTGTGTGTGTGTGTGTGTGTGTCCCTTCCCCCAGAGGCCCAGTAACTCGCCCAGCTTCAAAGACTCTGAGCCTGGCTTCACAGGGGCTAGGGTTGGGGGGATGGGAAGTGCCTGTCAATGGGTACAGGGTTACTTTTTGGAGTGATGAAATGTTCTGGCTAGTGATGATGGTTGATCTGTGAATATATTAATAATCACTGAATTGTACACTTTAAAAGGTTGAATTTTATGGAATGTGTCTCAATAAAAAAGTAATTTAGAGGGTTGCAAATCTATTGAGATATAATTTACATGCACTAAAATGTAAACTCCCATCTTAATGTAGAGTTCAATGATTTTTGACAAGAACCCCCATGCCGCCACCACCACTGTAATCAAAATATAGAACATGTCCATCACCCCAAAAGTTCCCCTGTGCCCCTTCAGCATTTTTTTTCAACACTGAATAGAGTAGAAACTATCAAAATTCATCACACATAGTAAAGCGTACTAGTTCATAAAATTTACATTGTAGTTATATTTAAAGATATACACACGGGTTTCCCTGGTGGCGCAGGGGTTGAGAGTCCGCCTGCCGATGCAGGGGACGCAGGTTCGTGCCCTGGTCCGGGAAGATCCCACATGCCGCGGAGCGGCTGGGCCCGTGAGCCATGGCCGCTGAGCCTGCGCGTCCAGAGCCTGGGCTCCGCAACGGGAGAGGCCACAACAGTGAGAGGCCCGCGTACCGCAAAAAAAAAAAAAAAAAAAAAAAGATATATACACACACATTATAGGGTTGTGATATGAATCACAGTCAAAAGGACTGAAAGTTCCTATTGAAACATGCACCATGGAAGGTGTAAGGGGGTCGTGGCAGAAATGTTATGCACTTGCTCTGAGGGTTGCTATGCGGCTGGGCTCTCTGCTCAGCACTTACATGCATCATCTCATTCAAGCCTTACAGCCACTTTCTATTATGTGCCTCATCACTCATTCTGCAGATGAGGAAACCAAGGCTTCACGATCTCTGCTGGAAGCCAGATCTAATTTCAAAACTTACTGCCCATAATGCCTCAGTTTTCTCTTTATGGGTTTATAATTCCAGCTGAAATGTCAAATCCTGGAGGATGAAGACAGTATCTGTCAACCTCAGATACTGTCATTCAAGAACAGCAAAACAATAAGAAGACGAAGAAGAGAAAAAAAAAAGAGGATACAGTCCTCCCTGCATGGAGCTTGCAGTCGAGTCACAGGTGTGCACACCCACCAGAGAGCTTGAAGCACCAAAGACACGAACATAGTGTCATGTTTCTCTTTGTAACCCTGCGTATAACCCTGGGTGTGATGGGCTGGTTTTTCCTGTGTCCAGTTGCTGGGAATGTTGCCCCAGCCTTTCTCTGAGACACTCCTGGGCAGTCAGACCAGGTGGACCCTGCAAGGGCCATTCCCTTCTGGGTTGTTCTGGAAAGCTCAAGACCTGAAGGAGTCCTCGTGACACAAAGAGTCCTGAGGGTGCAAGGACCCCAGACCAGGGGTCTTGCTGGAAACACTGGAGCCCTCCAGAGCCCTCCTACCAAACACTGGCCGCAGAGCAGCAGGGGCAGGATTACAGCATAGAATTCAACATTAGGGTTTTTGTCCCTGAATTGCGCCTCCATGATACACTGGTAGCCACCATCAGTCTCTCATTTCGAGAGAGTCAAGCCAGATGGCATAAATCCTACCTTCCAGTTAGCCCTAATTGATTTCACCCTTATTGATTTGTTGCTAGTTAATGAGCCTGTTTATCTCAAGACCCAAATCCTTCTTTCCCCCTTAGATACTCTGGCATCGTTAAATCTTTTAAACATTAGGAAATGTCTTTATTTTATTATTTTTAGGGAACGTCTTTAAATGCTAGTCTTGGACATCACTGTATTCAGCACACTGCATATTCTAGAAAAGTCAGGGGACCCCCAACAGAGACCAGTTTTACATCCAAGGAGTAGCTAAAACCCTGGAGTCTCAAGGTTACTAGGGCCTTCTCAGTGTGTTCACCTGGGATGGTGTGGAAAGACTTGGAATCACACAGACCTGGATTTGGATCCCAGCTCTGTCACTTGTTAGCTGTGACCTTGGGCAATATACCTAACCTCTCTGAACATCAGTTTCCTCATCTCAAAAACAAAACAAAACAAAAACCCCAGGAGCCTTGTAGGGTTACTGTGGGATTAGATGAGATCAAGGTATGCAGTAGGCACCTAATACATACCAGCTCTCCTCCCCACCTCCTGCCTGCCAAGGAGATTACATTCTACAAAGACAAAAACAGCCAAGCAACTTTCTGTAAAGGAGGATTTATATCTTCGTTCTTGTTTTTCCTGAAAGGGCACGAACAGGAAACCTTGCACTGGTAAGAACACCCTAAACTCTGGTCCTTCCACGCAGTAAAGTAAGGTTCCCACGGGGTCTTAACCGCCGTGCATTGTCATATATTATGTGTGAACCACATAATATATCATATTATGATATGAACCATATCATATTATGATATGAACCAAGTGTGTTCACTGGAAAACGGTTGTCTTGCCATCTGTACGGCCACCAAGAGGTCCGAGCCACCATCTCCCACTCACCTGGATCATTCGTCAGCCTCGTACTTCCGCTCTTGCTCTCCCAGAAGACACTTCTTTCCACGGAGGCGGGTTCTCAAAATGCAAATCCAATCACATCAGACGCCTGCTCCACACTCTCCGTTGTCTTTTCCGCAAAGCCCGAAGCTGTCCATCCGCTGCCTACCTCTTCCGTCCCAGCCCCGACCTCCCCTCTCCCGGAAGCTGCACCAGCCACACATGTTTTCCTTGTCCTCAAGCAGCCCAACTGGTTCCAGCCTCTGGGCCTTTGCAGCTGCTCCCTCCACCTGGAGCTCTCCTACTCCTCCCAATGGATGCTTCGTTTTCAATACGCAGGTTTCAGCTCCAAGGCACCTTCTCAGAGATATCTTCTCTGATCATGTCCCCACCGCCATCACATCCATCACTTCACCCTATTTTATTTTCATCCTTGCACTTGCCGCTAACTAAAATTCTCTGGTACCTTGTCTGTCTGACTCACCGTGCACCCCGGTGCCTAGAACAGTGCCGGGCACAGGACAGGGATGTAATTCGTGCCTGTTAAATAAGTTAACCCAGGGAATTCCCTGGCGGTCCAGTGGTTACGACTCCAAACTCTCACTGCTGAGGGCCGGGGTTCAATCCCTGGTCAGGGAACTAAAATCTCACAAGCCACGCAGTGAGGCCAAAAAAAAAAAAAAAAATTGTCTTGCCATTTACAGTATAAATCAATGATCTTTGGGATGGTCTCTCCTCATATTAGAGCTTCTAGTGTGTAAGTGTCTAGACAGTCTTTTATTTTTGGCATTTTTGGCAAAGTGACTTGCTTCTGGAATTTAACAAAACCAGACAACGCCTGTCTCCCTAGTCTCATCCAAAGCTGTGCCACCTCTTCTAGAATCTGCCGAGACTCTGGCTGCCCGGCTCCTCCATAATAACCAGGCACAGATGAGACAGAGATTTTACAAATCCCACTGGAATACTCTGCTGCCTGAAAAATTGAAGCACCAGTGGACTGGAGACTTGAAACTGGAGACAGCCCAAATCCAGCCAGAGTCCCTGCTCCTCGGTGGGCTGTATACATGAGATTAATTCAGGCAGGAGCCAGGCAAGAAATGCTGGCCCCTGAGGACGGCTGAGAGGGAATTTTAAGATCCAGATGGAAAAGAAAGCTGGGGCAGGGGGTGAGGGGTGGTGGGGTAGGGAGGACCCACCCCCCCGCAACCCAGGGGTTCTGAACCTGCTAGGACTGATATTAAATATTAAATTCGGGGTATTTATGTGCATGTGTATGTATGTACATTTTGGGAGGAGGGTCCATAGTTCTTACCAGAGTTGCAATAGGGTCTATGCCCTGAAAGGTTAAGAACCATGGATCTGGAAGGCATGCAATTAGGTTAGCGAATCATCATCCTAAACATGACCTGAGCTGAGACAATCACGAGAAAGGAAAAGTGCTTTGTGCTCCAAAGAAAACAAAAGCTATTTCCAACAGGAATTGGCTGTCACATTCTCTGCACTTGGAAAAAAAATCAACAGAACATCCGCCCAGCCTGCCCAAGGCCCATCCCTAAGCCCAGGTCTCCGGGGAAGGCTTCGAGCCTTTGTTTTCCAGTCTGTGGGCAACTGGCTGGGCAGAGAGCCAGAGGGGAGAGACCTTTATGGAAGAAAATACAGAAGCGTGCCATGTTGTGTGGGCTAGAAGCACCCGAAGGTGCTGACTGAAAGTGATGACTGCTACCGCAGGACCCACTAGGTGAGAAAGAATGTGCTAGTTGAGATTAAGTTCTCTCCTGACCCTTTGACTTGGCTCCAGCCACGATGTTGGGCCTGCTTTTTCCTCTGGGTGCCCTGGGCACCACAGTATTCATCACGGGCCTCAGTGCCTTTCTAAGATTTTGGACCCTTTAGGGGTGGCAAGCCCACTTTTCTCCCTATGGCCACCCCAGCTATCAGACTGGAGCTCCTGCCTATTTAAGGCTATGTGTCACATCTGGTGTTCAGAAGGGACACTCCCTTCCCCTGCCCTTCTTGCCTTTGTAAGGGGAGGACCTGGGACGTGGCAGAAGGCCCAAAAAACGCTGGAAGGAGCCCCACAAGCAGGCGGGCGGGCCGGGAGCCAGAGTGCTGTGCCAGCACTTGGTGTAACCTCCAGGGAGGGTGCAGTCCACACACGTCCTGGCTTCTGAGAGGCAGGCACTGGGTGTCAGCCCGCAGCCATCACCTCTCCTGCTCAGCCTCTCCATGAGCCCCGTGGAGTCTTGCTCAGCCTTGTTGTTCTTCTGCGTTTGTATAGGTTCTATCTTTAATATATCCCAGCGAGGTCTCTTGATTTCCTCCCCGAAATCTGATTCTCCTCCAAGCTTCCCCATCTCAGCCTATGGCACCTTCATCACCTTGGGACTCATCCTTCAGGTCCCAGCTAAACAGCACCTCCTCCTTGGAACAACCTTCCCAGGAACCAAATCTAAAGGTCCGTCCCCCTGCCCAGCGCCACCAGCCACCCCCCGCAAGATGCCCTCCTTCATGTCATTCTGTTCGTTGATCACGTTTATATTTACATTTCTATTAAGATATAATTCACATACCGTAAAACTCGCCCTGCTAAGGCACACAATTCAGTGATCTTTTTTTTTTTTTTGCGGTACGCGGGCCTCTCACTGTTGTGACCTCTCCCGTTGCGGAGCACAGGCTCCAGACGCGCAGGCTCAGTGGCCATGGCTCACGGGCCCAGCCGCTCCGCGGCATGTGGGATTTTCCCGGACCGGGGCACGAACCCGTGTCCCCGGCATCGGCAGGCGGACTCTAAACCACTGCGCCACCAGGGAAGCCCCCAGTGATTTTTGGTATATTCACAAATTTGTGAGACCATCTTCATCATCTCAAAAAAGAACCCTGTACCCATTAGGCTCACTCTCTGTTTTCCCTCCTCCCAGCTCCTGTTAAGCACTAATCTACTTTCTGTTTCTATGAATTTGCCTATTCTGGACATTTCATATAAGCAGAGTGATGTGTGACTTTCTGTGTCTGGCTTCTTTCACTTAGCATAACGTTGTAGCATATATCAGTGTTTCATTCCTTTTTATGCTGAATAATATTCCATTGTAGGTACAGACCACATTTTGTTTATCCATTCATCAGTCGATGGACATTTGGGTTGTTTCCACATTTTGGCTATTATGAATAACGCTGCTATAAACATTCATGCACAAGTTCTGTGTGAACATATGTTTTCAATTCTCTTGGGTACATACCTAGGTGTGGAATTGCTAGGTCACATGGTAATTCTATGTGTAACTTTTTGAGGAAGGATTCTGTGTTTTAAATGTGTGTCCCACAGCACTATACAGTACTTTCTTTATCTAGTAGCCCGAGGTATGGGCATCTGCATGGAGAAAAACCCACACTGACAAGGATGTGGAGCAAAGGAAGTCTCAGACATGGCAGGTCTTCTACTTACACATCCAAGAGACACCCCTGCACATATGCACTAGCATATACAAACAAGGATGCTCCCAGTCATACTGTTGGCCAAAAATAGGAAATAACCCAATGTCCATTCACAGTAGCTTGCATAAATACATTGTGGACTATTCATCAAAGAAAATAAATGAACTACAGCTACACATCACAGTACGGATGAGCCTCACAGTGTTGAAAGAAACAAGTCACAAAGAGAATATGTATAGTACAATTTCATTTATATAAAGTTCCAAAACAAGTAAAATGAAATCATGTGCTTTAGGGACGCAAATGTGGGCAGAAAAACTATTAAACGTTATTTCAACCAAAAAACAGGATATTGGTTACCTCTGGCAGGGAGAGCGGGAGGGACACAGGAAGGTCTTCTGAAGGGCAGCCAATTTTCTAGTTCTTGTCCTGGGTGATGAATACACCAGGGTTCACTTTGAATTATTTTTAACTGTACATAGGTACTTACTTACTCACTATTCTGAAAGTTTCATTTCACAATTCAAAGAAGAGACAGGGGACTTCCCTGGTGGCACAGTGAATAAGGATCCACCTGCCAATGCAGGGGACACAGGTTCAAGCCATGGTCCCACATGCCGCAGAGCAACTAGGCCCGTGTGCCACAACTACTAAGCCCACGTGCCACACTACTGAAGCCCACACACCTAAAGTCCATGCTCCACAACAAGAGAAGCCACAGCAATGAGAAGCCTGTGCACCGCAATGAAGAGTAGGCCCCGCTCGCCGCAACTAGAGAAAGCCCGTGCGCAGCAACGAAGACCCAACGCAGCCAAAAAATAAATGAATAAATTAAAAAAAAAAAAAAGAGAGAAGAGACAGAACCCAGATCTAGGGGTCAGGACACCTGGATTCTAGATCGGGTTACCACCAAAGAGCTGTGTGACAGAAGAAAAATTATTTGTCTCTCTGCCTCGACTTTCTTATCTCTAAAATGGTAATGATAATAACAACTGACACTTGTTCAGGACTTACTGTTCCCAGGTACCGTGCTAAGTGTTTTCACATGTGTCATCAGTTATTAGTAATACATCCCATGAGCACAAGAAACACATAACTGAAGCCAGCTTAGGCAAGAAGTATTACATGGTTGCAGAAATGGCCTCTAGAACCTAAAGGCAGGGTGCAGTGGGGAACAGACTCTGGGGACTCTGTCTTTTATTGCTGCTTTTCCCTCTGGAACTGTTGCATTCTTCTCTTCTGCTATAAACTGGTTGTTTTTGCATCTCACAAGTCCCAGGTTTATATCTTCTGCATTCAAAACACCAGCCAGACTAAGCCTGGCATCTCTCAGTACAAATTACAAAGTTCGTTGGGAAAAGAATTCTTACTGCTTTAGTTTGGATCCAGCCTCTGCTCTGATCCAATGAACTGTGGCCAAAGGTCAGTCATACCACGCAAAAAGCCTGCCAGGGACGAATATCATGAAACTGGGGACTATGGATGGCTGGCAGTTCAGCCCATGGAAATTTAACTCTGTAGAGATGTATATTCCTAAGATCGCAGCTCCTAGAACGGCAGGGAGAGTGGAAGAACCGACAACCCAACATCAACTGTTACTTCATCTACGCTATATAACAACCCAGTGAGGTACTGTGAAAATCCCCCAATGTATGGATGAAGAGACTAAGAATCAGATTAGAGTCAGGAGTTTCCCAACAGCAGCGCTGTTGACATTTTGGCCTGCACAGTTCGTCGTGGTAGGGAGCTATCCTGTGCACTGTGCGATGTTTAGCAGCATCCCTGGCCTCTACCCACTGGATGCTAATAGCACTCCTCCAGTTGTGACGATCAAAAATGTCTCCATATGTTGCCAAATGTCCGCCAGAGGTGAGAAACACTGACACAGGCTGAGTAAATTTCACGACACCGCTCCACGGGTAAGACAGAGACAGGATTCAAATGCAGGTCTGTCTGACTCTAAAGGCTTCTTTCTCAGTCACTGTCTCTCTCATGATCATATCTAAATTACCTACCTCATAAGGTTTAGCGAGGATATATTGAATGTGCAAGCGCCTTGAAGAGTTAGGGGGAGCAGAAATAAATTATGTCTCCACATTCTGATAAGCTTCCAGTTCTGTGGATCAACGTGACCCCTCAATCAGGACAGGGCTCTGCAGCGCTAAGGAATCTGAATTCCATGGGTCTGACCACCAACCAGATTCCCCATTTAGTATCGTGATGTGATTACTCTCCAAAGCCTCTCCCTCATGAGGATTGACATTCCCAATGACTTGCTATCCCATGTCCAATTCCACTCTCCAACCTACGATTTACGGTAACTTTTCTTTTTTCCTTTGCTTTTCTTTTTTTTTTTTTTAACAGTAACTTTTCTTACCTGGTTTTCCTCTAGTGGTGCCAAGTCTTTTTCCAGATAATTTGGTCCCTAAAGCCTATATATTCTTCTTCCACAAACAACTAACTGAACATATTCCATCTCTTCCTCCATGAAGTAGAGGTCTTAACCTAGGCTGCCTGAGGTTCCGTGGTGCATTTACCAAACTCCAGTGGTTTCCCTGGAGTGGACCCTCCCATAACTAGAACGCCTGAGAATGTTGCTTGACTAAGCCCTACGTGGACAGACGCCAGCCTGTTAGTTTTCATTTTGGTTTGTTTCTTTATATATTTATTAAATTTAATTATTTTTGGCTGTGCCAGGTCTTAGTTGCGGAGAGCGGGCTTCTCTCTAGCTGTGGCGCATGGGCTTAGTTGCCCCGCGCCATGTGGGATCTTACTTCCCCCGCCAGGGATCAAACCCACGTCCCCTGCGTTGGAAGGCAGATTCTTTACCACTGGACCACCAGGGAAGTCCCTTCATTTTGGTTTGTAATAGTCATTGTGACTGAATTCTAAAAATGATGAAGTCCTTCATCTGCAAGGCAGTGAGGCCCTCCCATCGGAACCCTAAGGGAAAACATTTTGGCTGACATTAGAGAAGGCTGGCCACACACTAGTGACGGGTTCTTTACAATGAGCTTCCGTAAGTCTATCAAAGAAAGCACATCCCTACAGCTGAGTTCGGCTGCCGAATAAAATGACCAGGATATGTCATTCATATCCTTCCAGTCAAGATATAAACAGTCTGTTTGGAGGTCTGGTTACAATATAGTATCTTTTGGTAAACTTTTTTTTGTAACTGAAGTATAACCGACATGCAGAAAAGTACACAAATCGTAAGTCTACAGCTCAATGAATTTACCCTGAAGTAAACACACCCATATAACCACCACCCAGATCAAGAAATTACCAACATTCCAGAAACCCCTCTCAGGCCCCCTCCCAGTCACTATCTTCACCCTCTCCTTAAATGTAACCACTCTAATTTTAATCTTATGACCTGCATATTTTTTGTGTATCTGATGGCCCAGATAATTATCTCTGGAGGCCAGAGTTAATCAGAAGCTGGAAGGACTGTTTCCCTATGTGTCATTCCTCTTAAGAATAGTTTATCAGGGCTTCCCTGGTGGTGTAGTGGTTGGGAGTCCGCCTGCCGATGCAGGGGACACGGGTTCGAGCCCTGGTCCGGGAAGATCCCACATGCTGTGGAGCAACTAAGCCCGTGCGCCACAACTACTGAGCCCGCATGCCACAACTACTGAAGTCCATGCGCCTAGAGCCCGTGCTCTGCAACAAGAGAAGCCACTGCAATGAGAAGCCTGCACACAGCAACGAAGAGTAGTCCCTGCTCACCGCAACTAGAGAAAGCCCGCGCGTAGCAACGAAGACCCAATGCAGCCAAAATGAAAGAAAAGAGGAAGGAAGGAAGGAAGGAAAGAAAGTAAGTGCATGGTAAGAATAGTTTATCAGCAAGGATGCTTCCAGCTGCAAGTAATAGAACACCCAACTCAAATGGCTTAAACAATAAGGAAATTTATGATCTCCATACAAATGGAAGCCTGCTGCAGGGTGTGCTTCAGAGTTCATTGCATCAGCAGCTGGAGGCAACAAAGTCTCATGTTCTCTCATTCTCCACTCAGCCACCTTCGCGTTTACTTCATTTCAGGCTGGAAGCAGGGCAGCCATAGCAGTTATTTCTGTGGCTCTGGAGAGGAAATTTCTTCCAGAGGTTTCATGCCACTGGTAAGAATTGGGTCACATATGTAACCATGTGAAATAGAACTGTCCCAACTGTCTCAGACTTACCATCTGGGATAGGATGGATGTTGAGAAGCCCACCCCAGTGCTCCCTACAGAAA